TCTCCAGGATTGTTATTCTTTACATTAGTCCTGCAACTCATTTTTATGCTTATTTTGTTCCTTAAGGGTAATGTAACATGTTTGTATTAGAGGTACTTAATGAAATAACCCTGTATTATACATTTGTATTGAGTTGTAGCTTGAATCTGGGGGCCTGGAACGGATTAGGGCATTTCAATGTTAAATTTGCTTCTACTTACGAAATGGCTGTAGGAACAAATTAATTTCGTAAGTAGAGGTACCACAAAAAACAGTTGCAGAACACATCTCAGACCTCAGAACAGCGGTCTTCCAATGACAACAGCAACAAAAACTACAAAGGAAGACTGGAAAGAGAAACAGCAGAAGTGGGAGTATATCAACAAAGTGCAGTCCATCAGCAGCGGGTTGAACAAAGACAATGGTTTCCTGGCACATAACATTCATTTTAACACAAGGGACTCCCCTGGACAGTTCATCCATCTTCTTTTTTTCACTCCCACACTAAATCCCATTACTCATTCTTGGCTTTAGCCAACAGCCTTCCTTCTGCCTTTGTCCCCCAACAACCATCATTACAACTGAACTTGTCACCTCATCGCTACAGTCACAAAGTTTTGCATCCCTATAGACGTTCTCACACACAGACTGCTCTCTAGGGCTGTCTCTGGGCTTTCCACTCCATCAGATGTATCTGAGGAACATGGTTCAAGTCTACCAATTCTCTCTTTCAGTTAGTTTCAAGGCTGCTGCAAGATCCCTTTGCATACTTCAATACTTGGAATCATACAATCGTAAGAGTTGGAAGAAGCCACAAAGGTCAAGCTGCCTGCCATGCAGACACAATTAAACTATGGAGATTATCACATTACCAAATGATGCAACTTATCCCTGACAGGATACAGTCACGTTTCGGATTAATAGCTGATTTTATCACATTAAAATTGCCACCGCTGCCGCTGGGCAACCCAGGTCCCAGACACACTTATCCGGCCGCCTTTCAAAAATGGGAGCTTGCCGTTTTGGAAAAGCGGACGGATAAGCGTGGCTGGGATCCAGGATGCAGCCGGGTTGTAGTTGCCTAATGGCAGTGGCAGCGAGTTAAATGTGATAAAATCAGCTATTAATCTGAAATGTGACTGTATCCCATCGGGCATAAATTGCATTATTTGGTAATACAATAATCTCCTATATGAAACTGCAAATCCCACTGTTTCGTAGGAGGAAGCCTTGGCAATGGAAGTGGTATCTGTGTCCCAGCGTAATATTGCTCAAGCACTGGAAAGCTTCTAGAGGCCTGTTTAAAAGCAATGTATTACTGTTCGTTATAATTGCAGTAAATCAATATCCTTATTGATGTCTTCCAATAATCCTACTCTCTTGTTTAGCAGCCTGCCTTTGGGCAAAGAGGGAAAGTAAAAAGTCAGCCACAGTTGTGGGATGCTGTGGACCTGCATTTGGACTTTGCATTCAGACCGCTTGCTAAGTTCTGCTGGCGTGGGAGTGTGGAGAATTTTAAAGTGGCTTTCAGGTGTCTTTTTAAAGCTGTAAATATGGCTGCTTCCCAAATGGCCCCCCCTCTCTCTCTCTCCAGGAATCATCTCTTTCAGGAACGCTTGATATAAAATCTCTAATGGAGGCATAAATTAGCCCTGAGCTGGCAGATGGATATATGCTAGCGCTCTGCAAATGAACCTCAGTGGGGGCTTGCTCCTGAGATTCTCCTCTTTTTAGGGTGCAATTCCTGAAAGCATACACTGAATTTTCTAAAAAGAAAATGAAAGTGTGAAAGTAAGTTTTGTGTGTGTCTGCAAGAAGAGAATTAAGGCTGCATTCAATGCTGTATGTGTCTATTATTGAATGTTGACTCCCGTTGAGTTCAGGGGGGATTGAACGAAAAATTATTTTTAAAGATGGCCAAGAAACATGAATTAGCGAACCTTGAGGAGGACAATCCTGGACTGATGCAAATCTTCACAGTTCAGGATTTATTTTCTACAACATCTGTATATGTGCATCTTTATCTGTATATGCACAGAACAGGTTGGTATCCACGGGAAACAGCATTTTCTGTGCAGAAAGCAATATTGTGGAAAGATTATTTTTGGTACATAAAATCCACATAAAACACTTTTTTCAGAACACTGATGTACACCATGTGCAAACTTTGCACAGAATAAGTCACCAACTTTGGCATTTTGTGCTGACTTGAATCCCATTTTGGGGGAAAAGACAGGATAGAAACTCTATACATAAAAGTGAATAAATAAATTTTAAAAATGGGAAACATAATTTTGTGCATAGATTAATGATGATGATGATGATGATGATGATGATGGTGATGATGGCAGAGCTTCAGGGCTTTCATTCTTAGCTTCACGGTCCCTGCTTTCTCTTTCCTGTATGGTTATTTATCTTTAAATGAAATATAGACTTCAAACAAGGGAAACCTTATAAAAATAAAAAAGGGACTGTTCTCTCTAAAAGAGAAGGTTGATGGGAATTGCAGTCAAACAGTATCTGGAGCCTCTCCTCATACACACTTCCTCTTGAACTTCTCTTTCTCTTTCTGAGAAGCTCTACATTGAAATACTATTTTCCAAACAGAAAATCCTGTTTCTTGCAAAGAAAATACTGCTTCCCCTGCAAATCAACCATGTGCAAATTTTATACAGAACAAACCCCCAATTACAGCTTTTTTTCCTGTGCAGAAAATGTTTTCTGTGCAAGAATTAATAGTTCTGCATGGAAATATTATTTTCCATGCAGAAAATGCTGATTCCTATACAGAAAATGCTGCTTTCTGCACAAAACACGAATTTTTCAGGAATAAGTCCTGAATTGCAAATAGCCTTAAAAAAAAAAACCTACATGGTTTTCCAATATTTTCTTGCAGTGGGAGGAAAATTGTTGAAATCACTTGTTGCTACATTCAAGAAGAAACTTAATAAATAATTATTTCATGGACATTGGACAGGAATATGGAAAACAAGTCTTTCAGGAAAGGTTGAGGGGGCTGGATAGATTTGGCCTGAAGAAATGAAGACAGGGATTTGGGGTGTTGGACTGTTGCTGTGTGCCTTCAAGTCATTTCTGACTTCTGGCAACCCTATTGTGGAGTTTTCTTGGCAAGATTTGTTCAAAGGAGGTTTGCCATTGCCTTCCCTTGAGTCTGAGAGAGTGTGACTTGCCCAAAGTCAACCAGTGGGTTTAATGATCAATCTGGGAATTGAACCCTGGTCTCCAAAGTTATAGTTCAACACTCAAACCACTATGCCACCTTGGCCCTTGGGGTGTTGGACAATCAACAGAATATATCAACATCCCAAATCCACCAAACAGCAATACCTTTATGGAGCCAAGCAAAATGCACAAAATACATGTTGCAAGCTTTCGAAGCTCCACTGGCTTCTTCATTTTAAAAAAAGGCGTTAAAAATCATACAGAAGCAACAAAGAAAAAGGCAGTGTTGGAGTCACCGGCTTACATTTTGTCAAGATGTTATTGTTGTTCTCGGATAGAATGCTATGGAGGGATACCCATGGAGGCAGAGGCCATTCCTTCCCTTTTTGGCCGTGTGGGCTCTGGAAGACAAAGAGTCATAAATTCCAAGAAATAAGATTTAAACTCCAAAGAAAACTCCTTTGAAATCCAAGTTGTTGCTGTCCTTAGAAGAGTTTAACTGAGAACAGCAATAACAATATCTTGATAAAATGTAGGTTTGGGACTCCAACATCATCATTTTTCCATTGATTTTTTTGCCTGATGAAGAAGCTAATGGAGCTTGGAAAGCTTGCACCATGTATTTTGTAAGGGTTGGTTGGTCCAATGAAGGTATCCCTGTTTTGTGGAATTTGAATGTTATTGTACTTTGCTGTACGGCCAACACGACTACACCTGGGTATGTTTTCAAATCAATGGGCGAGGGTTTTCTTGTGTGTGTGTCTATGTGTTGTGGACAGGTATTACTGTTACAGATTGGCTGTAGAATGGAATGGTGTGTTTGTGTGTATAATTTTATTTAAACAAGGGGAAAAAAGCAAAGCAAAGGCAAAATAGCACGATGATGATGAATCTATGTTGCAGAATTTTGAGCATGATTTTGCTTGCATGGGAAATCAGTGCTATGGTCCTATAGTTGCTGCAGTCTCTTGTGTCTCCTTTTTTGTGGATGCAGATGTATATTGACTGCTTCCAATCTGTTGGCCATTGTTTTGTTTTCCATATCTGTTGACAAATGTTGGTTAGCACTAGAGTTGACTCTGTCAATATGGATTGCAACAGTTCTATTGGAATATCATCTGTTCCTGGTGATTTGGTTTTCTCTATTTATCTTATTGCAATTTCCACCTCACTTTTTAGAATTTGTGGTTCATCTTCATACGGCTTTTTATTCCATATTCATTTTGTCATCTCTTTTGTATAATTCTTCTGTGTATTGCATACAACATCTATTTATTCCTTCCTGGTCTTGAATTATATTATTTTTAATGTCATGGATCATCCCAGTCCTTGGTCTGAATTTTCCTTTGATTTCCTGGATCTTGTGAAATAGTCTCTTGTTCTTCCCTTTTTGTTGTTATTTTTTATTTCTCTGCATTGGTAATTGTAGTAGATTTCTTTATCTTTTCGCCCTAGCTGTTGTGCTGTTGCGTTCATAATTCTTAGTTTGTACCTATCTTCCTTTTATTTTTCTTCTCCTCTTTTCTTTATTGCTTGTAGTGCTTTTTCTGTCATCCATGTTTTTTTCTTTCTTTTTGTTTATTGAAAGTGTCTGTCTGCATTGTTCATTTCTTTTGTCCTTGGCTTCAGACCATAGTTCATCTAGTTCTTGGTATATTATGCTTTGTAATGTGGATCAGTTTCTTATGTTATCAATAAATTCTGTTGAGATATTATTTAGATCACATTTTGGTATAATCACTGGTTTTGTTTTCTTCTTGAGTCTTGCTCTTATTTTTGTTATGAGTAATTCATGATCTGTAAGAAATTACCTTCAGGCTATGTGTATAAGGTGTATACGAAACATGAATGAATTTTATGTTTAGACTTGGCACCCACCTCCAAGATATCGTATTATGTACATGCAAATATTCCAAAATCTGAGGGGTGGGGGGTGGGAATTCAAAATCCAAAACATTTCCTAGTCCCAAGCATTTTGGGTAATAAGGGAGATTCAACCTGTACCAATTTGTCTGACTACTTTGAGAAGAACTGCCAAGGAACACAGAGGCATTTGGACTTGCTAAGGGAGAGTGCAGCTTTTGGGTGATATGTGGGGGCAAATTGTCCCTTGGCCCTCACACAGTTGCATACCTGTGATCTAGGCCAATCCTCCGATGTCCAGATGGTCAATCTAGTGCTAAAGCACCTCCTGGGAAGTGACCAACACACCTCTGTTTGGAACCCTCCAATAAAAGGAAGGCCACCATCTTCCAAGTACCTTAGGGCAAGTCAAGACAACCTTGAATAAGGATAATGGGAGTTGGACTCCAACTAATCAGAAGGGCAACATGGGGAGAATCTGCATTTAATTACAGAGATATAGGGTGCATCTACACTGTAGAAATAATGCAGTATAACACCAATTTAAGTGCTCCATCCCTTGGGGGTCCTGGAAGTTTTAGTTTTACAGGGTCTCTAGCATTCTCTGCCAAAGAGTGCTGGTGCTTCACGAAGTTACAGATCCCAGGATTCTGTAGAAGGGAGCCATGGCAGTTAAAGTGGTGTCAAACTGCATTATTTCTACAGTGCAGATGCCCCCAAAGTTACTTTTTCATAGCTGCTGAAGCTGCAATGGTCTTCTTACCAGTTACCTAGAGCTGCAGTTGACTTCCCTGTTCCCTGTTCTTTCTCTCTCCATAGCATCTCCCTCTATCAAACTATTGGTGGACGATCCCATTGTAGTGAACCCCGGGGAGGCCATCACCTTGGCGTGCGTCACGACAGGAGGAGAACCACTTCCGGTTCTAACCTGGATGCGGTCGGTTGGAATCCTGCCCGAGAAATCGGTTCTGAAGGGTGGGACGCTAACCATCCCCTCCATCACCTCTGAGGATGCCGGCACCTACAGCTGCATTGCCAACAACAACGTGGGGAATCCAGCGAAAAAGTCCACCAACATCATTGTCCGAGGTAAGAGCTGTTCAGGATCACGTCCACTACAGATCAGCCCATTCATTGAAATCCTGTTAGTGTGTTGTATGTATGTGTAAATTCTCCTATTGAAGTTATGCATGAGGTGACACTGTGCACAAGCTGCATATCATGGTGCTTGTTCACATATGCATCCACTACCACTAATAATAATATATATTCATTTATTTATTTTCCATCTCTCCCTATGGACCAAGTTCAGTCAACCAATCGTCTGTATGTTAACAGCAAAACTTTATTTCAGTAACCAAAGAAGTTAACAGCTTGACTTCTGCAACAGAACTACTATAATCCCCAACTATAAGCATATAGAAAATATACGGACACACTCCATAACTTTATGGGCTTTTTCGCTCATACTTGAAAACATTCACACATCTTCCCTTGCTCTTCTGGACTCGGGTTCTTCTCAGACTTCCTCTAGTATTGACCTTGGTGAACATCAGTACCAGCGCACTTCCCCATGCAACAGTTCATTGCCCAGCCGGGCAAGAATTTTCTCTTGTAAATCCACCACATATCCCATCATGTGTCACAACCAAACCTCTCATACATATTATATATGATTCTATAATACTATTTTAAACATGTCAAAACAAACTTTCTATATAAAACACAGTAGCTTAACAGAGGGAAAGGGGAAAAACAAAAACACCAGTAAACCACCTCTATGCTGGGATACACCAGAATCCTGACACAAGGTAGGGAAGAGCAACAGATTAATCTCAGAACACAGTTAAAAGAACATTGTAAACCAATATATATTAAAGGAGTATAAGAAACCAATACATGTTAAAAACAATCAATGCAGACTTTAGAATTCATAATTTAAAAATCATATTGGTAGGCTTATTGGAAGAGAAAGGTCTTTATTGCAATTTTGAACTCAGATAGTGTATCCTGGTGATGAATCTCCTCCGGCAGGTCATTCCCCAATCTAGGGGCAGCTGGAGAAAAAAATAAAGCAAAACTGTTATCCTCTGGGAAACAGTTGCCATCCTAGGTTTGACTGACTGAAGTAGACATCCCTCAGAGAAACTGAGTATACAGGGTGGATTTGGTTGTGCATTCAATTGCACAGTGTTGCCATTCACCACAATGGTTACATAACACAATCAATGTGTAACTCCACATATAGAGGTTTATGCTGTGCAACCCCAGTGTATGATCCTGGCCATTTCTTCACAACTGGTTTGGGATTACCTTTTCCTGCATCTAAAACCCACCAAACAGCACTACCTTTATTGGGCCAACCAGAACGCACAATCTACATGTTGCAAACTTTTGATGCTTTGAATTGTTGTAGGCCGCCCCGATTGCCTAGCAGAGGGCCGGGTTATAAATAAAAATTATTATTATTATTATTAATTATTATTGAAACTCCTCTGGCTCTTCCTCAGGCAAGGTGTAAAAAACCATAGGGGAGAAAAAGAAATATTGAAGATGTTAGTCATAGGCCTGGATTTTATTGCTGTTCTCAGTTCAGATGGTACGGAGGGGTTATTCATGCAGGCTGGTCTCTCCTCCTTCTGGCCTTGTGGCAATTGGTAGATTCTCAAAGTCCAAGAAATTCAATTTCCATTTGCAACATAAAAAAGGTACTTCCTTTGCAATCTGATGTCTCCATCCTTTGTGAGGCCACAGACCTCATAAATGCATCACTGTTTGGTGGATATCAGATGTTATTGGACTTTGCTATATGGCCAACACAGCTAGCCCTGGATATTTTTTCTTTTCCTGAATGATGGAGGTGACATGCAAATATAGCATTAGGTAGATATCTTTGAAGATATCCAGCCTCCAGCATTTGGATGGTGCCCACTACAGAGCTGAGGTCTTTCCATGGGAGTGCTCTGTTGTGAGAACCCCACAAGTAGTTTTATTATGAAGAAAGAAATTCTCAAATGGCTACAAATTATTGTTCCTCAAATTACCTGGGAAGAACAGGAAGTGGAACATTTATACAGAGCAACAACTTTAAAAAGAGGCCTGGTTCCCAGAGACGTAATCTGGAGAGTAACAAGCTTTTATAAGAAAGACCTTCTAATGAAAGAAATCGGGAAACTCTCAAGATCACTGAAGTGTGGCATTACCACAATTGAAATGTATAATGATCTTTGCCCAGAGACT